GTGTGTGTGTGTGTGTGTGTGTGTGTGTGTGTGTGTGTGTGTGTGTGTGTGTATTGATTGTTTGCTTGATTGATTGATTGATATATGCGTGTGTGCGTGTGTGTGAATACGTGCGTGCGTCTAGGCGCCTGTATGTGCATACGCGTGCGTAGGTCATCAACTTTCAATCAATATGTAAATTCGAGTTTCTCTAAATTAACACGGCGGTAATTAGCCAGGCGCATGCATTAATTAGTCACATGCATTCATCATTTCGATAGATAATTAAGTTCTATCCATTCAATATCAGTAATAATTAGAACATAACTTTAACCAGACACCTGGCTGCCAAGTGCGGTGTTAAAAATTATGTAGGCGCGTTATTCGAGTTATTAATTCATATAAACGCCATGCGATCACTGCACTGACATTTTCACTATCAGTTGCTCGTAGCAGTTGTGTGATATAATTCACGTGGTCCCTCCATATAAGCCCCTAAGTACACCCATATCCCACCCACACCCACACTTGGTAAACTAAAAACATAAATATGAGAGCCCTGCACTGTCTCACGAGACATACAATCAGAAGAACTTGACGAGACTACCATAGGTATACACTAGTCCGTTCATTGCTAAAATAGCATCAGCTGTATACGCGACGCCCTAAAGGCTAACTCGGTAGAACCTCACCCTCTGTAGTGTCGACCCATGGGCCCGTTGTCAGAAACAAAATTAGTCTCAACATTAGTCTTAGCATTATCGTATTTTCACAGACCCCCGACAGAAACATGGTAAAGTTTCGAGTTTGTGATATGCAGCGTTTAGAGGTCTGGTCCATGAGAAAATGTTAATGGTAATACCAGGAGTCTATCAATAGACTATTGATAGACTCCTGTTAATACTAATGTTGAGAGCAAAAGTTGTTTCGGACCACGACCCCCAAGGCTTCTTGCTACAATATGCCACCTATTAGTTAACTTTACATTTGTCAGTAACGACAATCTCAGGACTCAGCATCACCGCTGGTGTTGCTGTTGTTGATGATAATGATGATGATGATGATGATGATGATGATGATGATGATGCCGCTGCTACTGATGATCATGATGATGATTATTATGCCGCTGCTGCTACTGATCATGATGATGATGATGCCGCTGCTGTGGCTGGGGCTACTGATGGTACTGCTGCCGCTGCTGCTGCGGATGATGATGATGATGGTGATGATGATGATGATAATGATGATGATGATGATGATGATGATGATGATGATTATGATAATGCCGCTCTTGCTGCTGTGCCGCTGCTGGTGCTGCTGCTGCTGCTGCTGCTGTGACTACTACTACTAATAATATTACTATTACTGCTGCTGCTGCTGCTGTTGTTATTGTTGTTGTTGTTGTTGTTGTTGTTGTTGTTGTTGTTGCTGCTCCTGCTGTGGTTACTACTACTACTACTGCTACTACTACTGCTGCTCCTACTGCTGCCGCTGATACTCTTAACTGACCCTGCCGCCGCCGCTGCTGCTGCTGCTGCTACTGATAATGATGATAATGATTGGGAGAGGCTAATGCGCTCTCTGTGTTTGCTGTTCGTTTATGCAGTGACGACGTAGGAGAGCCATCGAGCGACGAGATACTCGCACGGCTGACAGGGTTCGCAACACCACAGAAACGCTTCTCCGAGGCGCATAGGCCCGTGGGTGAGTGAGTGAGTGTGAGTGTGTGTGTGTGTGCGTGCATGTGTGTATATATGTGCGTGTGTGTGTACGCGTGCATGTGTGCGTGCGTGTGAGTGTGGTTGCGTGCGCGCGCGTGTGTGTACGTGTATGTGCGTGTGCGTGTGGGCGCGTGCGCGCGCGTGTGTATACGTGTATGTGCGTGCGTATGTGTGTGCGTGCGTGCGCGTGTGTTGTATGTGTGTGCGTGTTCGTGCGCGCGCTCGCGCGTGTTTGTGTGTATGCGCGCGCGCGTGCGTGCGTGCGTGCGTGCGTGTGTGCGTGCATGCGCGTGTGTGTGTGAGTGTAACTGTATAGCTGACTGTATAGTTTGTAGATGTGGTCCTGTGAGAGCTCCGCGTATACCTATCTCAATGCGATAATTAAATTTGATATCGAAATTATCTAGCTAGTCCTGGCACAACATTGCATCAAGTTCAACATTGATGTATTTTCTCTATTTCTAATTAGTCAATGTTTCGTCCAGAATATGTCCAGTGCGGATATTGTATGCAGAAGTGAAATCGCATTTTAGCATTTATTCGCGTTTGCAGAAGTTATACTCAAAATGCTTCATAATCGGCATTACGATGATGTCTCTGCAGTTCATATAGATGCATTTACATCAGGAGTGAATAATAATGGATAGGCCCTATTTATAAATTAATGCCTGTTGTTGGGGGGCACTATGCTCTCATAGTGCCCCCAACAACAGGCATTAATATTTTTAGTGCATCACATGACTTTGCAATCTACTCGGCAAATATGAAGTGAATTTCGACAAAGTTTCTTAAACGAACAATTTCAATTTGTATTAAAACACAATGCGTTATAATAACAATGCGTCGCGCAAGCAATAGTGCCCGCTCAGGCGGGCACTATTGTTTCATAGTACCTGCGTCGTTATCCAATAGAATTTCAACGATTTATCATGTGATGCACTAACTATTATTATTCACTCCTGTTTACATGAATGGCACTTTAACTATTCTGTAACTTTCTCGCTTCTACGTCTCCCGACGTTACGTAGCAAATGGAAACGGGATATCAACCTGTTTATTGTTTCTCCTCGCGTCTAGAGCAATGTTATATACGGCAATAAAATGCCACCATGGGAATTAACGATTAACGAGTTGCACTCAACGCGCAGTTTCACTACAGCGCACGCACGCACGCACGCACGCACTCTCACACACGCACGCATGCGCTCACACACATTTATGCGTGCATGCATGCACGCACTCAGTCACTCGCGCACGCCGGTATGCACGCGCACACACTCATGCATGCACGCACACACGTGCGCACGCACACGCGCGCCCACGCATACACATGCACACGCATGCAGACACGCACAGACGCATGTGCACGCACGCACAGACGCTTGTATTCCACGTGGACGAAACCGTTAGATACCATATGTTTTACTACTCGCCCATTGTACTTCCTTATGCTAGCGTGTACCGTTGATGACGACGACGATGATGATGATGATGGTGTTGATGATGATGATGATGATGATGATGATGATGATGATGATGACGACGACGATGATGATGATGATGATGATGATGATGATGATGATGATGATGATAATGATGATGATGATGACGACGACGACGACGACTACGACGACGACGACGACGCCAACGACGACGACGATGATGATGATGATGACATTTTCGTTATGATTATAACGATGCTGATGTTGTTATTGTTGTGATTATTATTTTTGTTGTCGGAGAAGGGGCTAATGATGATGATGCTGTTGTGTTTGTCGTCGTCGTTGTTGTTTATTTCTGCTCTCGTTGACTCGCAGACGTTGAAGATCTGCTCACGTCGCTCGCTCGCATCAAAATGCAACTTGAGCTGACCGACAGCGTCGAGGACATTCCTTTTCTCAGTCAGCTGCTCTGCCACGCAGACTTCCTAGCCGCTCTCAATCTTCACAACCAGCTCGTCGGAGCACTGGCCAGTCACAGGTGCTGCGTGCCCGTAAGCACCGAGGCGGAACAACTACTGGATGAGGTGAGCAGCAATTCTCACTAGGCTGTCGGTCCCTGAAAGGGAAACTCGTGGCATTATGAATCTTCTTGGCGGTACAAATTAATGACGTTACATAACAAAATAATTAATGATGTAATATAAATAAATAAAAGAAGTATTATTTTATTAAATGTCTATGTAAATTTGTATGCACGGCAAGTGGCTATTCTTACCCGATCTTGAAATGATGCCATCGGATTTCATTTTATCTTGTAGATTATTAGAGATCATTTCAAAAATATCTTAAGATTTCGAGATAATCTTAAAGATAGGCAGGGGCAGGCTACAAACGAGTCTCGTCGTTCTGCTGACATTTTTTTCTTTGGGGTTCGTTGTGTAGACAGCATTTGCAGAGGATGCATGCTATGATAGAATGCAGGATGGTTAATATACGAACTCGTGTGACGAAGAGCGCCAGTGTCTTCTAGAACATCATGCGTATGCGAGGAGTGCAACTTTATGGTGTGGCCTTTATCGATTTGAGATATGAGAGATAGGATGAACTTTCTCTCTTCCCAAGTGATGAAAATAAAACTCACAATAACCGACAACGAGTTAAAACTCGATAAATATACGGTACATATACGCTTATATCTACGGCAGTACGACAGCAGGATACACTTGAAATCGAATGCATGAGATCGAAGAATGATTGAAGCGCGCAAAATATCATGCGATATGTTAGTCTAGTTATAATAACCTGATATCTTTGAGGGAGAGAATAATTGTGAATGGGGCCGTATGCGTTCGTATTCGTGTCTTCACTTCTTGTCCTAAATGACGCAGTGCAATTAAAGCGGATTTTAATCTGGTTAAAACGTATATGAATACGCACACCAAGACGTGGTCGGGCGAGAAGAAAGAGCGCTGCGCAACTCTGTATATGTCCTTTATCGGCCGCATTGGGATGGCACCAGATTCTAATCGCGTCTTTGGCGCCTATTGACTCATTCGAAAGTGAGCGGAAACTCGAGCGAGATTTGTATAGAGCTTCCTATATCCTCTGTATAGAGTTCCTATAGAACCCCCATGTGTGCGTATTGCTGCGTATTGTTGCGCATTGTTGCGTATTGTTGTCTGCAACGAGAATCTTGTTGTTCGTCTGCAACAATATGGCCGCGGTCGTCGCACACCTAAAATTATTTACGGAAAATCGGATTCTCTATTCCCATCTTAAAAAGAAAAGCCTAATGCGGATTTCAATGTTATTTTCGGATACTTTGGATTTTCGTTCAAGCTGCGCGGTTTTCTCGTTCGATATTCATTAAAAAATACTAACGTCTTTATCGTGAGACGTGCTGCCGAGTGTGTGTTTATTTGATGTGAACTGCAAAGTTAATCGGATATCTAGAGAGCCTCATATGGTTAGATAGCTGAGCATAACGTTTCTTTACCCGTTCTTTCACCATGTTGAAATGATGCCCCCCTTCTCCACTTCTTCACACATCATTATCAATATCATGATCAATATATATATCATTATATATATATCATTATCATTATCAATATCATCAATATCATTATCATAATCATTATCAAGTTAGTCACTATGTATTTCACAGGATTTAACGTTATGTGGCATTTCGTTTTTGCCCCGTCTTTACGTTTCACCGCGTGATGCTTTTCACCAGTCAACCTTTCTTTCCGTTTCTGCTTCCATCTCCTCGAAGTATTTTCTCACTTTTCGAGACGTAATTCGAGACGTAGATTGAGAGAGAGATATAGCGATAGCGAGAGACAGGGGAGAGAAACACGGAGAGGCGGAGAGAAACGGAGAGAATCGCTACAAAACGGTGGCGTGCGCTTTGCGTGTTGTTTTGCATGATCAGAGAGCGCCAGCATCGCAGACGCGTACATGTATAGCTTTAGTTACGATCGTGACGTCACTAAACAACACCCGAGAGCTTAGTAACACACTGCTGATAGCCATTCCCTGCGTAGCATCTTGCTATTATTTCATTTTATGTCTAACGTAAAGTTTTCAATGCCGCCATTCGAATATACAGGGAGAGAGAGGCGCGGAGAGAGAGGGGCGAGAAAGCGCGCGGGAAAGAGAGATCCAGCGAGATACAGATAAAGAGGAGAGTGTGAGAGAGAGAGTGAGACAGAGAGCTTCAGAGAGAGAGAGAGAGAGAGAAGCAGAAAGAAAGGGAAGAAACTGGGAAGGACAAGTCGTTGTTCTATTACCGCTGAGCTTGCTTTTGCTAACAGTTGTATAGAGTCTCTTCTTTGTCACAAAGGATTCCTGCTTTGACTGGGAACTCGGATTAAAGTAGTTTCACTCTCTACACTCTTATAGAAGTACTGTCCGTGTAATATAGTCTGGTCACGGCGTGTGGCGTGAATCTAGGGTGAGGGCAGCGCATGTCTGTGTTACCGATTCTCCAGCGATAGTACGTGTAATAAACTCAATGGGGAGTTCGCTTGTGCTACATGATATACATTCCAGAATAGCCGCACGAACGTGGCCGTGGTTTAGTTTACAAATCTGGCGTAAGCCTTGGCCATCTTACACACACGCACGTGCGCATGTACTCAGGCACGCACACACACGCACGCACGAACGCACTCAAGCACACACACACACACACACACACACACACACACACACACACACACACACACACACACACAC